ATTGGCTTTCTGGGCTGCAAGCACACATTGCCGGCTCATGTTGAGTTTCTCATCAACCAAGACCCCCAAGTCCTCCTCAGTGCTGCTTTCAATCCATTCTCCATTCAAATCATATTTGATACTGGGGATTGTCCTGACCCATGTGGACTTGGCCTTGTTGAACTTTATGGGGCTGGCAGAAGCCCACTTCTCAAGCCTATCAAGGTCCCTCTGGATTGTATCTGTTCCCTACAGCGTGTCAACTGCACCACACAGCTTAGTGTTGTCAACACACTTACTGAGGCTGCACTGTGCGCTTACAGCCCAGAAACCCAATCATATCATGGTTGCATCACAAGAAGTGTGACTAGCAGGTCAAGGGAGGTGATTCTGCCCCTCTACTCTACTCTCCTTAGACCCTACCTTGAGCACTGCATCCACAGTACAAAGGGTCCACACTACAAGGAAGACATGGATCTGTTAGAGTGGGTCCAGAGGAGGTCCGCAAAAATGGCCAGAGGGCTAGAGACTGGAATACCTCTCCTACGAAGACAGGCTGAGAGAGTTGGGGTTCTTCAGCCTAGAGAAGAGAAGGCTCTAGCGAGATCCTATGGCAACCTTTCATTATGTAAAGAGGACTTATAGGAAAGAGAAAGACTTTTTACCAAAGCCTGTAGTGACAGGATAAGAGACAAAAAATTTAAACTGAAAGAGGGTAGATTTAGATTGGAAATAGAGAATAAATTTTTTCCAATGAGAGTGGTGAGACATAGGAACAGATTGCTCAGGGAAGTTTTGGATGCCTCATCACTGGAAGTGTTCAAGGTCAGGCTGAATGGGACTTAGAGCAACCTGATGTAGTGAAAGACATCCCTGCCTATGGCAGGGTGTTGGACTAGATGATCTTCAAAAGTCCTTTCCAACCCAGACCATTCTACGACTCTATGATTCATTCTATAATTCTATGCTATGGATCGAATTCTTGTTGCTTATATTGCAACTGGTTTACAACATTCCAGACAAAATGAGGGCATTACATTACCCTTTTCGCTTTCTTCTCTTAATTCTATGTATGCATTTAATTCAGTATGTCTTAAGTGGAAAATGTGCATTAAAAATATTTTCAATAGCACTGGGACTAAGTATCCAAATACAAAAATAATCACCTACACACAGTGTATTTAATATTAGGTTACAGAGTCAAGTGTTTTATTCCCTCTGTGGTTTCTCTGTTCCTAACAGTCACCTAAACCTGATAGGGGCAAAAGCCCCCATGTTAGCTTGTTAGCTAGAACATTTATTTGGGAATTGAAGCTGTGACTTCAAACTTTTAGGATTGGGAGATCCTAGATTTCCCTTTTCCTAACTTGTAGGCTTTTGTATTAAGGACAGGCTGTTGTCTATTCAGTCCTCGACCAGTGAGTAAATGACTGTGGACTCTTGAGTTTTGCACTGAATGAACCAGGAATGGTCCGACCAGAGTGACTGGGTGAGTGCCCTCATGGGAGTTCTGCAGAGTTCAGGTACCTCCCCAGACTACACAGTAGCAATGCAGAGACTAAATGAGAGTTACTTCTCATCATAAATTGACGACTCTAAGACCATCTGACTGAAAACAAATTTTCTGATTAAATTTATGTTTTTTGCAGGATTTAAGTGGTATCTGAACATATGTGGTTTGATTCGGGCACTGAGACCTAAACACTGACAGGATGTTGAAGCTGACAAGAACAACATATAGCCAACATCTTACTTTTAAGCATTAGACCTCTAAGATTTATAATTTATCCCCACTTTTCTTGCAATTTACTTTTCTTCTAGTTTATGCCTAGATTTTCTTAGATTAGAATTATTTCAAGAAAACGAAGTTAATTCAATTACAAAAGAAGGAAGAAAAAAAGCCTAGCAGAAGAAGAACTTAATTTTAAAATATTTTCCAGATAGAATAAGAATTTGTGATTGGACTATTGACAAAAATGTCTTAATGATGACATCCATTTTTTTGATATTTCTTTGGTTTCAGCCAAGCCTGATATCACTGAAATGAACGTGTTTTTGTTTTCGTTTTTAAAAGTTCTAAGAAATGAAGTAATCATTCCAGTCTGCTCAGTCATTTTTTAACACAGTTTTCATCCAAACAAATAATGCATCTGAAATGAAACACAAATTTTATACAGCAGGTAGCTGAAAAAAATCTTGCTTGTGTAATTTGGCTTCATTTTTAGTAATTGACTGTGAAGAGCTAATCCTACTCCCATGAGGTTAATTGCTGACCCTCATTAACTTCACTATAAACCATTTTCTTTCCTAAGTGTCACTTCAAGCAGGAAATCAGTAGTTCAAAATTAATATTCTATGTTGAAAGTCACTGACAATTTAGCAGAGATGTTCTTACTAAATTTATACAAAATATTGCATACTTTACCTTTCTTTAAATTCTGTTGACTAAGATTGTTTGCTGAATTACCCTAAGCAAAACAGTTACAACAAAAAATATTTCTTAGCTTATTGTATATTTTTATAGATATTTAAAGATAAAACTGGAACATTTTACTTGAAAACTGTTCAAATGATAATAGAAACTTGCTTAAACTTTATAACATGCAATAAAAAGTGTATCTGTAGTATGATGAGCCAAGTATAAAGACAAGTGCAACATCCTGCACCTGGGACAAGATAATCAAAGAGCCCGGTTCAGTCTGGAATTTGTATGGCCGAGGAGCAGCCTTGCTGAAAGGGAGCCAGGGGTCCCGGTCAACAACGAACTGGATGTGCGTCAGCAGCGCGCTGCTGCAGCAAGGAAGGCAAATTGGATCCTGGGCTGCATTGGCAGGGGCATTACTAGCAGAGATAGAGATGTGATCATCCCAATCTACGCAGTGCTGGTCAGGCTGCACCTGGAGTGCTGTGTCCAGTTCTGGTCCCCACAATTCAAAAAAGATGTGGACAAACTGGAGAGGGTCTGAAGGAGGGCCACAAAGATGATCAAAGGGCTGAAGGACCTACTCTGTGAGGAAAGACTGAAGGAGCTAGCTCTTTGTTCTCTGGAGAAGAGAAGGCTCACGGGGAACTCCTCACAGTATTCCAGTACTTAAAGGACAGCTACAAAGAGGACAGAGGCTCTCTCTTCACAAAGTGCCTCATGGAAAAGACAAAGGACAATGGATACATGTTGTACCAAGAAATAATAAAGATATATTTTACAGTGAGGACAATCAGTCACTGAAACAGCCTCCCCAGGGACATGACAGTCTCCATCACTGGAGTTTTTAAATATGTGATATGGCAGGATGCTAGATAATCTCATCTAGGCTCCCCTTCCCACAAAATGTCAGACCAGATGATCTTTCGAGGTCCCTTCCAACCTGGGCTATTATACGATTCTATAGTTCTGTTCTGTAAGTCTTTCACATGAAATGTAGTCGAAAAGCTGGATTGACATGATCAGACTGCCAACTGAAGGTTTTTATATGTTTTTGGTTGTGCTTTTTTCCCTCAGATCCATTGGCCTAGTACACCTCTGCAGGCAGAAGAATGCATAATTAAAGGAAGAGATGCTGTAAGTATCGCTAATTATAAACCAAATATACTTTAATTATACCAATGGTTTGTCCAAAACAAGGATTCAGGCATCCCTACACTTCAGAGAGATCAAAGCACAGATATAATTCTAAATGTTGCAGATTAAAAATGTCTAACTACTGTGAACACACTGAATTATTAGTCTAATTGCTTTTCAAACCAGCTCATAAACGGGCAATGAACACTTTTGATCGTCTGAACTTTCTCTTAATTCTTTTTCTGGTGATATCCGAGAAGTTACCTTAATAAATCTCCTTTTCCCTTTGTATTTCCCTTTCTTTTCAAACACATAGGATACATTCTACACTCAAAATTTTCACATTCTAATTTATCTCTAAAATTCACATTCTCTAGTTAAATTATTAGTAATTATAAAATATACTCTAAATTGTTTTGCCCTGTGGGGTTTTTTTTTTTGTATATTAATAAAAATACTCTATTTTAATGAGCTCCAAATCTCTTCTGGTCTTTTGAGCCAGTGTTTTGACTGTAATCATTTCCCGGGGAAAGATCTGAAAGCTCACTGACGTACAGCAACTGGTATCATTGGCAGCACAGGATGAAAGTTCTTCTGGATGGGAGCTGTCTCTAATTTTGTAGTGTACCAAGCTCAGTACCTGTACCTCATAAACACAGACCAAGTAAAACACCTAATAAATCACACAGCTGAGAGAGCTCACACTGTACCAAAGGATTTGAAAATGATGACAGTTTTACAGTACAGTGACAGAATCGTAAGACATGGAAGAGTGGAAGAGCGCGTGCACAGTTTTCCCACAAACAGAGCAAACAGGCAGCATTGTGAATAGCCACAACATATTCCCAGCGAAGATTAGGAATCTATAAAGATTCCTGAAAAATTACAAACTGTCATGGTTTAGGCCGACCCGGCAACTAAACTCCACGCAACTGGTCTCCCACTCCAGTAAAGTAGAGAGGAGAAAAATACAATAAAAGAGCTGAGGGTCGAGACAGGAACAGAGGAGCACCCACCAACCACGGTCCCGGGCAAAAGAGACTCAGTTTCCTTAAAACAACACAGTTTATTAACAGCTACCTAGAAAGACAAAAGCACACAAAAACAGTTACTTGAGAGGATAAGAAGAAAACAAGGCCAGATCTTAAAAAACACCACCACTCTCCCCCTTTGCCTTTTCTTCCCGGCTCTACCTCCTCCCCCCAGCGGCGCAGGGGGGCAGGGAATGGGGGAGTGCAGGTCAGTTCATTCCGTGCTGTTATTGCCGCTTCTCTTAAAGGAAAAAGAGTCCTTACACCATTGTCCCTTGCTCCAGTGGATCCCCTACTCACGAGGAAAATCCACAAACTTCTCCAGCGTGAGTCCTACCCGCAGGATGCAATCCTTCCCTATCGGATTGCTCCAGTGCGGGCTCTACCACAGTCTCGGATTCCTAGGGAGTTGTTGCCACTCGCTCTGGCGTGGATCGTCATATAGACCTTAAATGTGTCTCCATACAGACTTAAAATGTGTAAATGCACCTCGACCTGTGCCCCTAATTCACAATAGTCTCAGGCTCAGGCATCTCCTCTGAACAAAACACCTCCCCATCGACGAGGATTGTCCCGCGGACTCTAGATGCATACTGTACTCAGGCTCTGGCATCTCTTCTTGATGTGGGTTTTCCACGGGCTGCGAGTGGGTCTCTGCTCCCCCGAGGACCACCTTTAGCTGTGAGGAGGAGCACTCGCCATCTCACCACTGGTCTGCAAGGGGAACTCAGCTGCGGCACACGTTGTCCTGTTCCATCTTCACTGACCTGGTGTCTGCATGGCCGTTTCTCTCAGATCTCAGTCCTCTCTGGGTGAACTCGGCCCGGTGGGCACCCCGGGAGCGGGGCTCTCCCCAAGTTCCCCAAGCGATTCCTCCATCCTCAGTGGGGGGCACCGGCCTGGCCCGGGCCACCGGCCCTGCCGGGCGCCAGGGAGCAGGGGCAGCGCCCCCCTCCCTTCTCCTTGCTCCTGGGCAAAGACACACCTTTCTGGTTCCTTTGTCCCAATGTAAATAGGGCAATTCGCAGAGGCGCCGATTGGCTCAAGCCCCAGGGAGATGGGAAACGGTCTGATGAGCAGCTTCTGCCACCAGAACCTTCCCCCCCACATCAAACCATGACACAAGCATAAGAACTGTTCACGTCAAGGGTATCTGTGAACTAGATTGGAAAAAAAAATAATAGTAGTATGAAAACCCATGATACTTTACTTCCTACCTCACCTGGCCTAGAGTTGATCCATTCTGAGGTATGTTAATGTTCATTGCATTTTCCTGAATTCTTATTTACCCTTGAGAATTTCAGGTGGCTTTGTTCGAAAATGGTGATTTTCTACACTATCCAAACTTCATGGTCATCTTTAATGATTCCAAAACCTAAATTCTTTGATCTTTATTTGAGCCTTATTTTATTGAGCTACCTCTCAGCATAGGCTGTTATTACAGTTAAAGCCCTATCATCTCTCCCTCACCACTACGTAACGGGATTTATTTTCTCATACTTCAACAATATTCTTTGGGTTAAATAAATACATAAATAGGTACTGTTATTCCAATGTAATGTAAAGGTATCCCCTTCACACTCATGAGATTCCCTAAAATTCAAAATCTTTTACAACCCAGTCTGTTATTATAAGTCTTCAAATTTGCATTGTAATGAATGTAATCATTTGAAGAACTTCACATGTTTTCCACAACTCTCTGTACTGTGAATGTTAGGTGTGTCTATTTTTTAAAAGAAAAACACAGAATTTTTAAACAATCACTGCTCCAGAACTGGACTCTTTAAGGAAAAGATGTTAAAATAGTAAAAGCTGGAAACATTGTAATACCAAACAATACCAAACAATATTCTGATCCTCACATGAGACCTAATTATGTGTAAGACTATGTGAATGCCTAAGACTAATTAATTCCAGGGAAAACATCGTAATTTTCATTAGCATGCTCAGTATTCAGTAAGGTAAATTGCTCAATCTGAAAGGAATCTAAATTAGAATCAAAACCTTTCCTATTATTTTCCTTTTCACCTTCATTTTTTGTATCTATAAACCAATACTGACTTAATGGCATAACGCCTTAAAATCAACCCATTGACATTTCTAAGTTCTGAATGCTACCTTTCATGCTATAAAGTATCTGAAAATAATTACTCAACAATGCTCTTTAAAACCTTTTTGCTTATTTCCATGCTGTTTCTGTCTTTATTTTGCTTTGCAAAAGTTCTGTTACTCAGTGCATAATTAATATTCAGTAAAACTTAAAATATTGTCATAAGCATCTCAGTGTTGAGGTACTTCATGTGTTCTCTGCTACCTTTCTATGTAACAGAACAGGCCACTTTTGCCAGCTCTTAAAACCTTTAAAAATCATCAGTTCATCTTGTAGTAGTAAAACTGCAAGTATTGGAGTCATAACCACAGTTTCAGAAAGCTTGTAACAGACTAAACAGGGCAAAAAAGCCTTGTCTTAACAACACATGCATCATCTTAAACTGAGACAATGCTTTTCTGATTCGAATCAAGCCAAGGAAAAAATCCTTCTGCTCTCATCCAGTGCGCCAGAAAACTCACCTGTTGGCCTGTGGTGTGAAAGCTTTTGATCCTTTCCATCATTTTATCAGAATTGGAAAACATTCAGATATAATATTCAGATTATGTAGTGATGACTAATTCCTTTACTCTGAGAAGTTTCAGATTAATAGAATTCCACAGATCTATTAATATATCTACAGAGGCTCCTAAAGACAACCACAACATTTATTTAATTAGCATAGTAGAAAGAAAATTTATTTTAATGTTCCTTTGGCTGATGCATCTCTTCCTTATTATGTGTACAGGATGTTATTAGCGGGGCCAGCAGCAATGCCTAGGTGCCTAATGCTGCCCAGAATAGCATCTTTTTTCATTTGTTTATAAATGATAAAATCTTGCCATTTGTAATGACTTTTTTCTATATTTGTTATCTGCCTCATCCTGTTTTTTCCACAGAAAATTTCGGTCATTTCTGTGACACAGTAGAAAAAATGTGTAATTTTTGCTCATTTAAAAAAATCCTAAGGTCTCTCTTCCTCCACAATGCTTTTGACACAGAGTTCAAGACCTGCAGACGTATGCAGATAAGAAAGGAAACCATGGAGTAAAGACCAGACTACCACTGAGAGAGAACAGAAGGGATAAGTCAGGAAGGTTATACTTGGAGGGGAGGGAGAACGAGGAACAGGATCAGTGCCCACTAAAGCATCTATTTAAAAACTGCAAAGCAGCATAAGATTCCTGTGTATTACCATTCTGCTACCACCAATCAGCAAATGTTTGTGAGATGCACTTACAAAGTGGACACCTCTGTCTTTTAGTGCTGATCCATGTATAGGTGCTCGCATCCTACTATTTTCAACCCGTTCTTCTCTCAATTTGTCTGACAATTCAAGTAGCAGGTTTTTTTCAGTGGGTCTAAAAAATTTTATCCAGATGAGACACCATGTGGACGCCACATGAGGACCTTTCTTCTTTAAGTTTCCTTTTTCAAAAAAGGAATAAATTAACTAAGAATTAAGAAGTTCCAAAAGTAAGATATTGCAAGGTTGATAGGTCCTTTGCATATACATAATATTTGATTACGCAACAGATTATCTGCCCATGTATGTTACCTGCTTCTTTCAATTAGCATAGGATATCTTTGAGGTGAACGATTAAAAAGAATCACATAGCAAAGGAGAATTTTTCCTTATGATCTTTATTTATTTGCTGGAGCAGTTACAAGACTTACGCTGAATGACACAAAGTTTGAAGAAAGGAAAGAGATGATTTCTTGGTTTTGAACCAATTATGGACTTGCAAGAGCTGAATTCTGCCCATGGCTCTGCCACAGACTCATCCTCTGTGACATTAAGTTTTTGGAGATAGTCAATAAGACCCAGAATTGTTCTTATGTAAATACAGCAGTCTGATAACTAAAGCAGTCATCATTGAAGGACAGCAAATTTTTAAGGAAGAAATGCCTCCACTTTGTTTTACATATTCATTTAAGGACAAAATTAATTGCCTTTTGGAGATGTTTGAACTTCTTTGTTGATTATCGAAAAATGCTAGGAGAATAGCATAAATTACATATCTAAACTTTAGAATAGCTGAAGTTAGCTAAGAGTAATCCCATTATAATTTTCTTCTTAAACTTGATGTGACTGTCTTAAAACCCAGGGTCTAAGTTGCAGAAATGTTGAACAATTAATGGAAATGAACAGAAATTTTGCTCCAAACATAGAAATCATTGCAAAATGTTAAATACTCTGTAAAATCAACTCCCAGGAGACCCAAAATCAATGGATACTTTTATCTCACTGCATTTCTAGTTTAGCACGGGAAGGATAATGATCCCATATCTCACGAGGATGTTTGAAAATTTTTTAATTGTAATATTTATGAAGCTGCAAATACACTAATGAGTCCCAGAGTATTGTCCTGGGGAAAATGAGTAATTTCTTCTTCAAAGGAGGGTTTGAACAATGGGAGCAGACAAAGCATGAGGTTATACAATATACAAAAATATTGATTAGCAATTAATTACTCAAGAAATTAATGGTGCAGTGTTCTCAAGGATAAAAAATAAGTAAGAAAAAAGTGTTCTTTTTCTTGAGATAAAGTTTATCAAACTTGAGAGAGAAGCCATTTGCTGACTATTTGCATCTCATGCTCTGACTATAATGTCTAGTGCATCTAGTAATACTTAGTAAAATAAATTTTAGAGTTGCAGAATATCTCTGAGATTAAAGAAGAACAAAATTGCGTTTTATAACTTAATAACTCCTAGCTGGATAAGTACCTAAAATAAATTATGATAAATCAGTGCTCTGAACTTGCTTTCTTCATGTCAAAAGTATTCATCCATGAATTTGATGGCACTGAGGTACTAGCATGAAGCAGGAGAACAAAGATAGTATATTTAACAGAATAGAAATTTTCAATATGCAGTGTATCACCTGTAGGCACTTGAGATACTAAAAAAACCAACCAAACAAACAAACAAAAAAAAAACAAAAACCCCAACTTTCTACAAAAATGCTAATATTCTCCTGTGTTTATTTTTTATGTAAACTAGGATGAATGTGCAAATTACATCCGTGTCCTTCATCGGTACAACAGAACACATCTTCTGGCTTGTGGAACAGGAGCTTTTGATCCACTCTGCACTTTTATTAGAGCTGGACATCCATCAGAGGTAAGAACTTTGTTTTACATTAGTGACTCTTTTGGTCTGGATTCCAGCAAAACCTCCATGATTAAAAATAAATATTTAAATCCAAGTGATCAGAGTTCTCATACAAACCATACAAGAGATATTTACAAGAGATATTTACAAGAGATATGTCATGAGGATGGAGCCAGGCTCTTCTCAGTGGCATCCAATGATAGGACAAGGGGAAATGGATATAAGCTGGAACATAGGAGGTTCCGCTTAAACATGAGGAAGAACTTCTTCCCAGTAAGGGTAACAGAACACTGGAACAGGCTGCCCAGAGAGGTTGTGGAGTCTCCTTCTCTGGAGATGTTCAAAACTCACCTGGACACCTTCTTGTGTGATCTGATCTAAGTGGTCCTGCTCCAGCAGGGGGATTGAACTAGATGATCCTTTGAGGTCTCTTCCAATCCCTAACATTCTGTGATTCTGTGATTTTCCCTGATGAAATGTTATGCTAGTCTAAAATTCAGCTTGTAACTAGAGGAACTCACTAATGATTGAAATTATATTTCAGAGAATTACACAAAGAACTCAAAGCCATTTTCATCTTAGAATTCCATTACTAGATAAGCTGATATCACAATTCTTATTAAAAATTATTAAATATTTGGAGATTTTTAGCTAAAACTGTTTCTTTTAAATGAAATAATATATCCTATAACAAAATATATAGTATTTTAGTGGGAAATGGAATACCTTAATAATTCTTTGTTAAATTCACCTTCTTAGTGTTGATCATATGCAGTGTGTGCTAACTCCTTACTGACACTTGTAACTGCGTTAAATAGTGCTGCAGAAAAGATCATTAAGTGCAGCATATAATCAATATCGTCAACATATGTCCCATGCAAAAATAGAATTGTCTGAATTTTTTAGAAATCTGGATCCTTTCTGTCTCAGTTATATAAGATTGAGGTTAAAGAATCAGCAAAAGTAGCAGCCTTTTCGTTTAAAATTGGAGTATAAGCCTCCTTAGCGATTCAACCTAATCTTGATTATATGCAACCTACGTGTTGTTACCTGGAGGCCAAACTGCTGACTGGTTGATCCTACTTATATCCTGCTTCCTTGCATCTTTGTTTCATCGTACTCCCATTGCCAGTCTAAAAAATCTATAGAGTTTATTAATATATTTTGAAATTTCTGACATAAAAAAGTCTTCTTGAAGGGCTGAGTTTCTACAACTGTTATCAGATTGAATTTGTGGGCAAGTTATAAATTATATTACTAGGTCTGGACCTTGGAAGTGCAGACTTAGTGCAAATTGGACACTCAGAGTAATCCCTTTTCATACACTTAGTGATGCTGAAGAAATAATTTATTCAGTTATAAGGTAAAACAACTGGTAAGGGATCTCACTGTTTATCTGAGCTGCCCTGCCATCAGAGGGGGATTTCACTAGGCTGTTAGCGAGGCATGGGATGACTGATTTAGGAATCTGACCAGGGATTTTTGGTCACACGTTTTCTGAGGTGGGACTTAACAGACAGAAATCATCTGTAACTCAAAGGTTAGATTGGCTTTTACTGGCAAATGCCGGGAAGAGCTGGACAATGGTCTTGTTTAGTTGATTCATATTTAGTGATGTCTCCTGGTAAAGCTGAACATTTGTCATGGAGCTGATGCTAAAGTACTAATCCAGGAGAGTTCGTGCTTCCTCTACCATCAGAAATTGGATTTTCAAGGTCATTGCAATCGCATGAGCTCACATCACATTAGAGGCAGGTCCATTTTTGTGGATATTATTTATAAAATAATACAGAGTGAACCATAAAGAACAACCTTACTGGTGACATGAGAAAAAATAAAGCTTCAAAATAGATAGTCACAAGTGTTTTCCTTTCCGTTTCCAGGTATTTCAGAATATTTGTCAAAAACTTTAAGCTACATTACAGTTAGTTAGTTGATGTATGAAAACATGAAAATGTTGTGTTTAATGTTTTCTGCAGCTGAACTTGGATAAATTGGAAAAACTCTCCCATATTCTAGACAATTAAAGCTCACTTTTGAATTATATTTGAATTAAAGGTTTTTTCCTCAGTTATTCCACATCAAAATTACTCAGCTTATCAGTCTATAAATAATATGTTTCCCCTAATTTTTTTCTCACAAATTTCAGCTTAAGCTGTCTAAACCAAACTGGTTTTATTCTGTCACTTACATCACTGTAATTGTTGTACTCCAAATTTAACTGACAGTTTTGTACCTAATGAGTTAAAGCAGCTACAATTCAGACTTGTCCCATACCTACAATACTGTCTATTAGTCTATTGGTCAGAACAACAGGAAAACAGAGGACAGGTGGTGAAGCTCATGTAAAATAAGCACTTGGCTGAAATAAACATTATTTACAGATATAAAGTTTTTAAAATATGCTCATATAATTCAATTAAAGTACTTACTTTAGTAAAATTTAATGATCTTTTCTAAGTAAAGACGCATCCCTTTGACAAACCAAACTAGAACCACATCATGAGAAACAATCTCCAAGGATCCAACCCATGCTGTGCACCTCCATCTCCTGTCAAAATCAGAAGCATCTGAGAAGTTAAGACCCCAGCACAACACTTAGATTTCAAGTTATTTGAATTGCAGAAACACATAGTCTTCTGAAATTGAGGAAGGAACTAAATCATAAGCAATTTTAAAATAAGCCAGCTTTGCATGTCGTCTTTGCTCCTCTCATGAACCTCCTGTCAGGCTTCCTGGTACAGTTTAAAGGAAGTAATGTCTATATATTTAGGAACACTATTTAAGAAAGCATAAACAACAGGTTAATAAAAATAGAAACCAACCAAACAAAAAATGAGAAACAAGACTTATATGTAATAATGTGTGGCCCATGATCCTCCTCTTATGTATCACTGTCCTTCCTTCCCTTATTTTTGTTTATTATTCTTCCTTGTCAAACTGAAGTTCTATAATTTTACCCACAGAGAAATTATGGGAAAATTACATTTTTTCTGCTTTTGTAGACCAACAGGAAATATATTTGCTACACTAATAAGTAGCTATATTAGCTTCTGTTATCTGAAAAGCTGACTATCAGGATTAAGAAAGACAGGTGCCATGTTTACGGTAGGTTAAAAATAACATGTGGTATGTGATTGAGTGGGCAAATTGTAATCTTACTTTCTTTGACTGATAAGGACATTGTGTAGCTGCAGGAAGTAAAGAGACAAGATCCTTCCTCAGAAAATTGCAGTTCAGACTCTGCTGGTCTCTCTGGCCAGAATATCCCGATCCAATGACTTCCGATTACTGCTCCCCATTTCTTCCTCCTCAGCTCTCTGACCTCTTTGTCACTGTCTGACTGTCATGGAAAGGAGAGTAACAAACAAAACAGTCTTAAAAATATAATGATACTATTCCATTTCTAAACAGAACCCAAACACCTTTATTAAAAAACTAGTAGAATTCAGACTTTCAGATTGAAGGGTAAATGCTTGTTTATAATTTGCATTCATATGCAGTTAAATGTAGTTCATAATATGCAGCTGGATGAAAGGAATATTGTTTAGATATTGTTGATATTTTTCACTAAATATATTGAACTTCAATATAAGTAAAATCTAACCTTGATCTGCAAAACTAAAGTTGCTTCTGAACAGTCTCTTTAAGTAGCATAAGGTGTATTTGAGGCTTACAAAGGTTTGAACAATGACACTGCTCAGACATGTTGAGGTGCAAAGGGTGGGAGGTAAAAAGGGAGCCCTTATAGCAGACTTCCGTGTATCTAGATACCTAACTAATGCAGTGTATGAAGTTAGATTCACTCTTGCGTATGGAACTACGAGTCAGCAATGTCAACACAGAGGAAGTACTTACTCTGTGGTCATGGACCTTAAATGTAGATTTCAATAGTACTTCCTGAGCTGACGGCAAAGTGAAGATGTCCTCTCAGTAAAAACTTCAAGATTCTTAAATTAAACCGTATACGAATACGGATTCAAGATGTAGGCGTTTAAGTTCATGATAGAATAGCAGGACTATATTTTCTACAACTTTATCTCTCCCAATTTATTGAACAGTTCAAAGAGAAACAATCTGTTGGAATAAAACATTCAGCTGAAGCACTTGTTCTTGAAGTTCACCAGTCCCTTGTTGCATATTCATTTTTGGCTAGCAACAAAAGTTACATAAAGTCGTCTATTTCTGAATAGCCATTTGGCAAGAAAACAAGGCATTACCGTTTTTCCTTCGAACAGTGAGAATCTCCCAAAGCCATGACCATAGTCATACTGTATGATATCCTGATCTAGCATTTAACATGTTTTTGTGAGGTGCAATTCAGCTTATGAAAAGGAGTGTTCTGCCTCCTGTATAATGTCTTACATTCTTATGCAACTACAAATTCATATTTTCTTATCAAAAACAGGTTTGAACTGTGTCTTCCAGAACACTGAGCTCTTGTTAACAAATTGTGAAGCCAAAAGGAGATTTTTGTCTCCAAAAATAGGTAGAATTTCATTGCCTTATTGGCAGATCATTACTCCTTGGAACTTACAGAAAATCAGAACCTCTAAGTTTCCCAAAAAACACAGTAAAAATGTCCAATCCCATAAGCATGACCATTCCCCCAAGCATGACCATTCCCCCCTCTCTCTAGAGAGACTAAGCAGTCTCTCTAGAAAACATTAGTCTAATTTACTATGTAGTAATGAAATATGCTTTGAAATCTTTACACAATCGTATTGTACTTTGATACATTATATATGTTTAAATGCTTCTTTCATGCTTTTCATGGTTTAAAGAAATTTAATAATACAATGTGGTTTGTCTTAATAGAAATAATTATATTTGAATATGTTGATCATATAAAAAAACAAGCAATAAATATTGGATTTATTGAATTCTACCTCAAACTTGTGTTGCACAACCAGAGTCTAACCAAATACATATTTCAAAGTCAAATTATTTATAAATTCTATGATAAATTATATATCCATTTGAAAGATTAAATACGTAAAGGTTTTGTG